GTCGTTGGGCTCAAAGTCATCCAGGTTCTTTAGCCCCTGAGCTTTGGCTCTCTGGTCCCTCTCTATGCTCTGCAGCAGAGGAGAAGGCAGTGGCAACACATTAAGAGACACCACGCGGTTTCCAGTAGGGTCTGGGTGCCTTTTGGTGACTGTGGTGCCAAGCTGAGCGTTGCCAGAGAGGCTGAGGGCACCCAACACGTGCACAGAACCCCACGGCGTTGTTTCCAGATCCAGAACCGTTTTGGCATCCCACAGCCCCAGCTCTGCCACCCTCACCCACCTTCTCCAGCTTGGACTCCAGGGTGCAGATGTAGAGCCAGAGCAGAGCCTGCGCCCGGTCGTCGAGGAGCCGATCCCGGTTCTGGGCGCTCCTGGGTACCAACTCCAGCAGCCGCAAGGCTTCACGGAGCGAGTCCAGGGAGGAGCTGGTGGAAAGAGGGATTAGAAACAGCCTTCTGCCCCTGAAACCCCCGGAGTGTTTTAGGAGGAGGGACAGATGCACCCCAGAACCCCGAACAGAGCAAATACCCAGAGCAATAACACTCCAGATCCTTAAAACTCCCCCTGAGGATCCTCAAGTGCTCCTTAGGGACTTTCAGGGACACAGGGAGGCCATCCCAGCATGCCAGCATCCACTCACCAGTCTGTCTGCTGGGCGTAGCTGTGGTAGCAGAGGACCTGGGCCAGCTCCATCAAGCCAACAGCTCGCTCGTGCAGGCGGCCGCTCTCCTCCGAGCAGATCTCCAGCAGGTCGCAGAGGACGTTGTAGCGTTCCTGCCCTGTGTCAGCCCGGATGCTCTTGTAGGCCTTCAGCTCCGCGAAGAGGACGGTCATCAAGGTGTCTGCGTCCAGGCCGTGCCCCTCCAAGCCCTCCTTCAGGGTCCTGGGGAAAACAGGAGCTGTAGGAGGGCTCGGCGCAGCGCGTGGAGGAGTCAGGCACGTCTTGTAGGGAGGAACATCCTCGTTTTACCAGCTTGGGAACTGCAGCTCCCAAGATGTCCACCCCCCGCGCGCTGGGCAGCCTTCCTGGTCTTACCGTAACAGTAACGTCTTGACTCGGACCCAGAGGGAGACGGGCTCTGCCAGCAGCTCCCCGATCCGGCCCCGCAGCGCCACCAGCCACTGCACCACGCACGCCAGGGCTCTCTCCAGTTGCCCCAGTTTGCGGAAGCTTTCCACCTGCAGCCTGAAGCACTTGTGCAGCTGCGGGGAGAGCACAGAGAACCAACTTCAGAGCCCTGCGGGAGCAAACTCCCTGCCTGCCATGTCCCACAGCGCAGCCCCCTTCCCTGCCTGGGCAAAGAGAATCACAGAATCCCAGAATGTCAGGGATGGGAAGGGACCTCAAAGGATCATCCAGTCCAATCCCCCCGCCGGAGCAGGACCACCTAGATCAGATCACACAAGAACGCGTCCAGGCGGGTTTGGAACATCTCCAGAGAAGGAGACTCCACAGCCTCTCTGGGCAAAGCCTGTTCCCGCGTTCTGTTACCCTTACTGGGAAGAAGTTCTTCCTCATGTTTAAGCGGAACCTCCTGTGTCCCAGCTTATATCCATTTCCCCTTGTCCTATCATTGGATGCCACTGAGAAGAGCCTGGCCCCATCCTCATGACAGTCACCCTTTACATATTTATAAACATGAATGAGGTGCCCCCTCAGTCTCCTCTTCTCCAAGCTAAAGAGACCCAGCTCCCTCAGCCTTTCCTCATAAGGAAAGTGGAGATGCTCCACTCCCTTAATAATCTTTGTGGCCCTGCGCTGGACTCTCTCAAGCAGTTCCTTGTCCTTCTTGAACTGAGAGCCCCAGAACTGGACACAATATTCCAGATG